TTACTTTACCTCTATAATTTTTTCTACTTTATCTACTTTATGCTATAAAAATTAAGCCTAAAATTATTTAGAGAATACTTAAGAGAGTAAGTTTTTCTAGAAGTATTTTAGATGCTTATGCTATAACCTCTACTACTAGCTAAGCATTTAAAGTGCTTTAGCATAAGCTTAGTTTTAGTAGTAATAATACTAGCTTAACTAAAGTAAAAGATTTTAAGTATATGCGTTTACTTAGTAGGTATAAGCGCTTTAGTATAAGCTTATTAAAATTAGATTAGCATAGTATAGCTAAGTAAAAAGCTAATATAAGTATAAAGTTTATTATCTCTTACTAAGGCCTATTATAAGTGCTCTTAGTAGCTAGTAATATAAAAATTACTTTTCTAGAAGTAAGAAAAGAAAAGAAAAGAAAAGGAAGTAAAGTAAAGTATACTAATTTTCTAGAGCTACTACTAGCAGCTAGGCTTTAGAATATAATTAGAAAATATAGCAGACTAAAGAATAGGTATTATAGAGCTAAGATAATATAGCTTTATAAAGATAGCTTCTTAAGAGAAGTAGCAGAAGTGTAGTAATAACGCTATCTACTATTATCTAAGCCTTTTATAAAGTTTCTATCTATTCTTATTACTAAGTTTCTCTAGCTAGCCTACTATTAATTCTTAGTCTTCTAAGTAAGACTACTAGTTATAAGAAAAATAAAAGTAAGATAGCTTTAGCCTCTTAGAGTACTTATAGTAGTAGAGAAAGGTATTATAATTTTTACTAAACTTAGCAGCTAGTTTCTAAGTAAGAAGTAAGTTATTAGTCTATTTAATATAGTAATACTACTAGCCTTTATATAGAGCAGATTTTTACTATTTATAATCTACTACTACGTTAATATACTATTTAGAGTGTTTGCTGTAAAGAATTATTATAGTAATATATATAAAATATATATTACTATCTTATTCTAGAAGTTAAATAAGCTTATTAATAGCTTTAGTATTAGCTTAGTTATCTCTCTTTTCTCCTTTCTGCTCTATTTGTCTATATTTCGTTATTCTCTGTATTTAGCCTAAAATCTAGTTTTAGCTAGTATTAATTAGGCTTATCTATCTAGAATGCAGAGTAATAGTAAACTAGTAAAGATAGTTTACTAGAGCTTATATTAGTAGTTACTAGTCTATACTAATTAGTATTAGCTAGTATTTTAGCTCTGTTCTAAGAACTGCTAGTATAAGCTAGTTTACTAGTCTAAGAGATTTATAATATAATAAGGAATTTATAAGCTATTAGAGCTTATTAATTATTATAAATTATTAGAAATTAATATTAGAGTTCTAAACCTTAGATTTTAGTATAGCAGAGCTAGGATAGTACTAGCTATAGTTAGATATAATAGTATTATATATACTATAGCTATCTCTAGAGTTAGATAGCACCTCTAATTTAATATTTTACCTATCGTCTATTATTTGCTACTATTGCAAGTGTTATATAACTATTTTTATAGTTATCTATTATTACTTAATAGCTATCTTTCTATTTATAGAGAGTAGTAGTTATTTATCTTTATATTACCTACTACTTTCTTATAACTATATTACGTTAGTAAGATTAACTAGAGTATAAAATATAGTTATAAAATATAGTTTACAAAATTAGTAGCTAAAGCTAACTAAAAAAACTTATAAATAAGTAATAATTAGCTATAGTAGTTAAGAAGATAGCTTAAGATAGTAAGATATAGCTCTATATATAAGCTATATACTAGCGCGCGTAACTATATAACTAAAATACTTAGTAAATATTTTAGATAAGTAATATAATATGCTACTATATAGAAATGCTCTAATAATATTTTATATTATTATTAGCTTATAGGCTTTACTAGCTTATTATAGCCTCTAATAGAGTTAATTAGATTAATTAGCT